ATATACAATATAATTTAGCATTGTTAAACATGTGTCATAATATATTGCCCTGGAACTCAGCTAAATAAGCAATATCTAACATGTAAAGTTGTCATAGGTTGGCCCAGTATTGGAGCTTATAATTGCTATACTCCCAACACACACGCGCACACACACATTGAACTCTTGGTGTTCCAGCCAACAATCCCCCCAATAAAATTGGTCATTAATTTCATGGCTGTTTGTGGGCCATTGCTCTGTGCATGTTGGCCACTGTGTTTGCCTACTGAACAGTCGCTACACTTTACAGTATGTCCACCTGAAGCGCTTTGAAATATCTTCTTGACGTGAAAGGCACTTTTATCAAGTAGAAGGCTTATTATTACAATTTTTGTTACCATTTTGCAATTTCTCATGTGTAGACAGTTTACCTTTCATAGACCCATTTAGGAGCTAAGTGTTTTTTTAAAAGGGTTTACAAAGATCAAGTTTATTTTAATGCATCTGAATTGCTTCATTTCTGTCCAGGTGAATGCAAAGTCTTTGTTTTGAGAAAATGCTACAATATTACTTTAAAAAATGATACAACGTTTGAGCTACACACTGTTCAGTACAAATCAAAGATTCTATTGATTTTTAGGTAGCGTTTGAGACATAAATTATTTCAGGCAGGATACTGTGGCATGTATTATAAATAATACAGAACTAATATGACAGCTTTTTCTACTCTTTACAACAGCCTCAAACAAAGCTGTGATAGATTTTTTTCTAAGTCCATAAAAAACTCAAGAAATTGGTACATCCTCAAATCCTCATCCTCAAATGCATGTTAAGTTGGTTTATCAGTATGCTACTGAATGATGTATGAAGAAACAAGAATGCATTTTAGCTCAATCAGCTTAAATTTCTGGGCTTGATGACAATCTTATGGCAGGAATTAACCAGAATTTCTCCTACCAACATTGGTGATCTGGGCAAATAGCTCTCGTTTAATTTTGCCAGTGAATTTTAATGTAAATCTGTCATAGCATTATTTAATGACCAATTAACAGAGTTGTATAACTGTTTTTATATATATAATATACACTACTGTTTCCACCCACATTTTTCCAGGTGTATGCCTTTTAGTTCCACTGTGTTAATATTTCTAATCATAATACTATCATTTATTATTACTATTATTATATGGCTCCCTCTAGGAAAATCTGGAAGGAACCCACTGTCCAAACAGTATTTCATACTTCATGTCATGTGGCTAAAGGGATCATTATTGAGGCAAGAGTAGGCTAGTGCCCCTACACCCCCCCACCCCCCTTCTTTGCAACAGTAAAATGTACTGAAGGTATTGTATGTGAGGATAAATGTATATATAAATTAAAAAAACAAGTACACAAGCTTTGAGTTCTGTCCAAAACTGCACTTTGCCCCTATTTTGACATAAACACAACTCTGATAGAAACTTTGCAAAGGGGTTTGAGATGATCAATGTTCTGGGTGCTATATCAAAGGCAAGACTCATTATTATTTTGTTGTTTTGTTCCTTTGGTCCTATATCATGCCTCAGTAACCTAGCAAAAACACCCTGTAAAATGATGTATTTTTATACTAATACAGTAAAGCAAAAAATTTTTAAAAAACATCTGTTGAGTTGAATCTTAGAGTTCACGTCTAATTCACAAAGTCTTTCAGCTTCATTTGGACACAATTGGATAGGAATATCTGTACCCAGGAATCTATTTTTACACAAATGTACAACATCATGTATAAAATTCTTCATGTTATCCACAGGATATCTACTCTCACCAAACAATGCTTAGCAGCTCTGCTACATGTAAGCGAACTGTAACTTGTGATCTTGTGATTATCGGATCCACAAAGGAACCACAGCATACAGTAGCCACCAGTAATTGCTGTTGCACATCTGCTGTTTATACAATTTAAACAAAATGTTATTAAGGAAAAATGCTGTCCTCTCTCTCCGTGCAAGCAACGCTCGTGAACTTTTTAGAACTAATGCCACTAAAGTTGATTACGTTTTCCTTTTTTATCTGATAGAATGTACCTAGAATCTTTAAACAACAGCGATGAGTTACACTTCTGTGGACCGTGTGTGACCATAAAAGGCTTTTTGTAACATGGAGCCCCAGTGAGATTAGTTTTTGAGCTCAAGCAAAAAAGAAAAACGGCACAAAGCAATTAAAGAACCCATTTTTGGCTCAAAGCAATATTTTTTTGATTGCCAGGGTGTAGTCTTTCAATACTTGAATAGGGTTTAACGATTTAACAATGCAGTCGTATAAAATAAAGTTTTGGTTTTATTGAGCTGAGAAATTAAAACTTTGTATCAGCCTATATCTCTAAGCCATGAGTCCTTCAGGTCAATAAGAGAAACGTATAGGTAAGGATGAGTAATTGGTTTTGGCAGCTCCTGCTCAGAGCAGTGAGATCTTCCTCTGCTCAATGAGCCCAGCAGAGGGTATGAGCTTGAATGGATGAGCAGACCCCGACCTAGACGGGGATCATTTATACTCCAGTGGGCTTCAGAAAAAAACACTGGAGATTCAATTAAACACATCTAGATTCTTCAAGCAGTAAACTTACTGCTGTTCAAAACTTATTTTATTTCTTTATTCTCCTTCCAGTCGGTAAGCTACCGTGAGACTTTCTGCCTCACCATAAATTCTTTATTCTTAAGTGATTATCCTGTGTTGAGCATTCTTTTTACCTTGTATTTACTGAGGGACTGAAATTCTGAAAGATCTCGGCAAGTTTTGAAACTTTTATTAAATGTGGATTTGTCGCTCTTTAAATTATGATAATTCTCACAATACTATTGTTCCTTATTTGTTTCCTACAGCAACACTTTTTTTCTTCATTGAAGTTGATGCGCTGGCATTAGAGGTCTTTGAATCAGAAAGTAATAATAATAATCCTTGCATTTGACATAGCGCCTTATCACATCTTTGAGACATCTCAAAGCATTTCATAGAAATATACTGTAAAGTGAATTGACTATATTTTGTAGGCGAAAATCACATGGTAACTTGTGACGACTACATATGGGTTGAGCACATTCCACTACAATATTGTATATGCAGTAACAAGTTGTTGATAAACATTATAATACGTACATAGATACTGACTTGACAATTTGTTGTAATGGCAAGCTACCAGCTACTGCATATCCATACAAGTAAAACATTAAGTAAATGAATACACGCAAACACATAGATATCCTCTTTGATTCAATTATATTTATCGATTCGGAATGGTATAGCATCACTCTATTCTTCAGTCGCATCCATTACTTGGTTACTTGGCCAGACCACTTTGTTTAAACCGTTATGAATCCAGCTATGACCTCAGAAAATCAATATGTTAGAGAAGTTATGGTTCCAGATACAAAACCGATTACTGCACGAATCTGATTTTTTTTACCAATCTCAATTCTTCAAGTTTATATTATATTCTCAGAAATAGTAAGTTTCTTTTGACCATCTTAAAACATTATCACTTTAAAAATTGAGTTTTAGTATCAAAATAATAACTCACTTGGGTTAATGGGAAATATTGATTAAAAGACACATTCTTCATTTTATATATTTGTATCAGTTGATCAGAAATACAGTTGTAATAATTCTGATTATGCACATGTGTCCACACCTCAGTCGCAGGCCCAGATTTAAAAATCAATGACTATGACCCATGCTGAGAATCACGAAAGATCAAAGCCAAGGATTATAATGTCAGAAAAGCTGGAATACTACTAAATGTGTGACAACAGGCAATATAGAACTAAATAATTGGCAAAAGCTTTCTTTCATGTTTATACATAAAATGTTTCTCTCTCCTAGACTTAGTATGGGATTTTATTTGTATGTACATGATAGAGAAATGAATGAAAATAACAAAAATGTTCCCTGCACTAGGTGTTATTTCCAACACCAGTTCCAGACTTCTGAAAGGAAGATATGACACACAGCTGTAGGACCCTTAGGGATCTGAAAATACTTCAGTGTTCTGCACAAGCACCAGATAGTCCCCTTTGTTCAAAATGTGAGGCAGATGTACAGTAAAATGTTTTTGAAGTAGGGCACTGGAAGGAAGTACTGAATTTCAGTAAAAAAAACATTCCCCACAATTGTTATTAAAATCCTGTCCTGTTTGTATTTATTTAATCCAGATAGGAATTCTTATTATAAAGATAACAAAATGTTCCATATTTTTAGTGTGATCAATCCACTAGTCGAAGATAATCACTTTCGAATTCAATTTTAAAAAGAAACGTAACTTTTAGGAATTCACACACCATTTCAATATGCACTGTTTCCAAGTGTTGATGACTTCAAAAGCAATGGTTTAATTTCCCAATCCTGTTTTAACATAGCATAGTGTAAAGTAGTCTATCATTTCAGTGTTCTTCAGGCCAACCTCCCTAATGCACAATTATGTTTTCAATGCCATGTCAAATCCTGTAGTCAAGATAAGGTATGACACTGACATTTAACCTATCTCGGAAACAAGGGGGGAGAGGAAGTGCAGATGGATGATTGGTGACCTGCTTAATCCAACATGATGGACCCTCTAAAGATGCTTGTAAAGATACAGAAGCAATGATAGCAATTCAGTGCTATGATGTTGAATACTTGAAGCAATAGTTTTTTAGACGTTAGTTAGCAATGCTAGTCAACCTTTATTTTCTTACGAATTTGCAATAACTTTATTTTTTAGAAAGGGGAACTATCACCCATTTCCTTGCTGACTCAACACAAATTGGATTTTGAACATGCGATCTTTTAGTTTGGCTCAATTCTGCACTAGGCAGCGAGTTTAAACACAAAACAATCGGGGTCACTCAGCCATTCAAATCAAATCCTCAAGGGCGACCGAATAGAAGCACCATATTCGGAAGTAACAGAGAGTAAGTCTCATACATGTAAAAAGTCAGAAGAATGTGTTTTATTTTCTAACACCATGTCATTTTATGTGTTTCTGTGTACGTGTGCATTAACACTGCAGTGCAAAACTGAAATCTTACACAATGATCTTTTGCTGCATTTTCTGATCGGGAATATTTCCTAATTTCTCGTACTACTTTCTCGTACTGAGAAGTGCAATTCATTGTTCACCATTTGCTCTTTCTTCTCTTCTTCCATAATCCCCTCTTCCACTGATTTGAGTTTGCAAAACAGATTTATGCTAAGGAAAGGATGTCAGCTTCTGCAATTATTCTGAAAAAAGAAACATTTATTGATGGTTACTAATTAAATTTAAATGATTTGAATATATTTTGGAACAATTCAACAATGTGTTAGCTGAGTGGTTTCAGTAATAAAAAACACTTCAGCAATAAAATCTGTGGGATTGTGTAAAAAACAATGACTGAACAAGAGAGCGCTTTGCCAACGCTGTTGTAATCATAATTTTCCTTATCGCAAGTGTCTTACACTAGACAAGTGACCTCAGTAAGGAAAACTATGAACTATTGCAGTTGTTTTAAGCCTAAGGCCACTTTCCAAGTCTTTTCAAAGTCTTTTGAAGTCTAGCACCTATCCTCTAGCAGCCTTGGGGCATTGCCTTCTGGGATCACAGCCACAAACATCAAGCATCTGATTCATCTGCCACGGCATAAATCAGCAAATAAGACGAGCTGAAATGTCAAAGGTGACGGAAAGTCATAGTAGTGTTATGCAAAGAAAGGTCCAACACAGCAATGGTATGTATGCCATGCAATGAATTAATATAATTGGCTACCTACCAATCCTAATGAATAAAATTATATCTTTCCATGTACGCTGCTCTTAATGGGATTTCCAGCAACACCCTGAGCAAGATTAATCACCATCAGTCTGAGTTTTATGAGTGAAATACATTTCTGCATGCAGTGATGAAAGTGATACATCATTATGCTCATTATCGGATACTGATGTTTTTTGGTTAAGGCATTGAGGGGAGGGGGAAGCCAAAATATTACCTGAAGGGCCCAGGAGGTACTTTAAATGAAACATGTTTGTTAATATAAACTAACAAATTCCCTAACAAATCTTAATTTGATAAATCACATTACAACAACAACTTGGATTTATATAGCACCCTCCACACTGGACGGCGTCTCAGAGAGCTTCACAATAATGGATCCCGGGGCCAAGCCAGGGAAAGGGGGAAGAAGGTGACCAAAGCCGCGGTCGAAAAGGTCTTTAGCTGATACCTGAAAATAGGAAGAGAGGGGGCGAGGCAAAGGGAGTGAGGAAGGGAGTTCCAGCGCCTCGGGGCGTAGTGGCTGAAGGCACGGCCGCCGATGGTGGAGCAGAGGATTCGGGGGACCAGGAGGAGGCCAGACCCGGTGGAGCGAAGGCAACGGGCAGTGTTGTGAGGAGAGAGGAGGTCAGAGAGGTAGGGGAGTGCAGAGGAGTGGAGGGATTTGATTAATACTCCTTGCATTTGATATAGCTGCTTATCAAATCATTGAGATGGTTCTATGTGCCTCACAGGGTATACTGCAAAGTGGTGTGACTGTGTGTATTTTCAAATAGAGGGCATTGTGTTAGATCAAGCAAATATCATATGGTTCATATTCACCTTCTGGACACAACATGTCAATGGTTGTCCTTCAGCTGTTCAGAAAGGGACATTTTCTGGCCACTGGGTTTGAAAAGTTGTGCACTGCTGATTTCTTTTGACAGAGCAAAACTTAAAAAGGATGTACAGTAGTTAAACCTAAAGAAATGTGTATATGACAATGTCCCACTCCTCATCTGAATCTTTCTAGCTTGAGAAATTTCTCACCCAAGATGTCTCTGAGAAGGGAATACACACTGGAATGATAATTCTATATAGCACATTATTACTGTGTACCATGACAGAGTTGAAATAACAGAGGCTGAGACCATATTAAAAGGGAATAAACATAAACATTTGAAGAGAGGCTACAAGAAAGAGCAGGGAATTAGCATTACAGCATTAGCACCAATATAGAAGCAAACAACACAAAAGGCCTCTTCCTATGCTGTGTTCTAGAGATAAACAGCAGTATTCTCTTAGAAACACCGATTATTAAAAAAAAAAAGGAATATAAACGAGTGTATTACTATTCAATGTATTTCGGCCTTGCTTAAATTAAAATAATTCTGTTGGAAAGGTGCTTTTCATTTCAGCTAATTTACAACCCTAAAATGAGACACTAATGAATATAGCTTGTTATTGGAGGTCATAGGAATGGTGGGACTACATTTAATCATTAAAACATATCATAGAAATGGCCAGAGCTCAACAGTGATCAGTGCTTAGATTATGTTGATGATATGGGTTTAAGTGCTTTTGTACCTGCAGGGCAAGTTCACTGCCAGTGATGGAGAAACTATGCAGTAAGTCTGTAGCATCTGTGTTGAGTCGAACTTGAAACACCAGTAAAACAGCTGTCACATCTGGTACCCTGGGGCGGGAGCTGGTGGTAGCTGGAGAACAACACAGCAGATCACTGGCTGTCATACTGTGTTTTATCTTTTTGGATTTATGTCTATTTAGGCACTTAATGCAATACATTATGTTTAACGATCAAGATTTATTTATTAGCTCACTAGTAAGAAGTGGCATGTTCCACTCGTAATTTACACTTCAAGCTGTTAATTTTCATGCATTTGAACAGACATTTTCATAGAAGAAAGCATAGTTTTTAAAGCATTAAAATTGGTACATTTACAGTCGTGACATTAATATAGCGATAGAAACTTCAATGTAGTGTTAAACGTTAGTTAGGTTTGTAGATTGATTGATATGAAAAGTATCCATTCGGTATCATTATTTTAAGTGGGGATAACACATTTAATAACAATGCACACATTCACATTTCTGTTTAATATTCACATTTCTAAAAGAATACTCGATGCATTTATATTCCATTAGGTTTCTCAAAGCATTTATACTGCTGCTGCGTTTTATTCATAGACACGAGATTGTAATATGTTGGCATGGTAGTTGACATACATTTGAAATATGTTGCTATTTTTATTGACATGTGCTACATAGCTATATCACTGTATATTAATAGGGATCTAGTCTGTGTGCCATCTACACTGGGTGACAAATTGTAAGGGTGTATGTTAATATTTAATGAACAAAGGAACATTGCAGACCTCTTACTAATATTATGAAGTGTCGCTTAACTATATCCTGTTCAACATCACAGTTTTACTCCAGCAACTTTTCTTAGCTCTAAATTTGCTGTTTCTATCATTCATCTTTTTTATTTCTTTTACAATTATTGTGTTCCGTTTTCCTTGTCTCATCTTTGTTCAATTTGACTGTTTTGTCATGCCAACTTGCCCATTTTATTTTCTATAAACTGTGACTAAGGTTCATCGTGGTAAACAAGTTAAGCTTTCCTATCTTGTGGGGACAATTTGTGCTGGAGCTTTTGATGCCTGGAGGTTTGAAGATTAACACTGAATTCTGAGTGTGAAGTGGCAGCATTGGGTAGATTTAAAGAAACTGAACGCTTTTTTGGGTGTCCCATTGATGGTTTTGGGTGCAGTAATTGAGGGAACTCCCAGTGTTTGGAACAAGTAAAAAAAACTAATCCGAAGACTGAGTGCTGTAAGCTCTTCCCCAGTAAAGTTTTTGTTTTAACCAGTATTAAGAGGTTTTTTTTGCTGCAATATAAACAATTGTGCTGTGATTTTCATCTTAATCTTACTTTTTGGATGATTTTAATAGGATTGAAAAGCATAACTGGAAGACTTAATGTGTAATCCAATGACTTTATCGTGTTACCAATTGGACTTCTTATACATCTCTGTTTACAAAGTTGGCAAATGGTAATGCATCTTGCTTCTCTGAAATGCTTGAGTTTCAGATTTCCATATACAGGTAGTTTAGAGGAAGTTCACAGGTACAAAGTCCATTTCTTTTTAAAAAATGGGATTTAGCAGCTTTAGTACGTTTTAAGTCTTGCAGAGCGAATTGCATACTTCAGAAGACACTCAATGCTCATTTTGAATTAAAGTCCATTTTCTGCTTGAAGTGTGCCTTAGGGTATCTTGTGTGAGGTGTGAATGCATTGCTGGGAGTGAGTGCTGGGTGAAATAAAAAACTGTGATGCGCAGCCAAGAAAAATGGTATGATTTAATTAATGAGCTTTTGGAAGAAATGCAAGGGAGAGGGTGTGCGTAAAAAGTTTGAATTAAAATAAGAGACTGAAATGAGAGAGACTGACGGCAAAATAAGATGGTCACTATGAGAACAGAGATCACACACATACCTACTCCCCTTAATACTACTGTACCAGGGGATCAAACTGATACATGTCAAGCATTTGGAAATCTCAAACCAAACCAGCAGCTTCCCTGTACTTATTTTTTAAATCTGAATAGCACACCACCATTATTTTACTTACCACTCACCAGTACAGCAAGAAATTTACTGTAGGATACATGAAATGGAAGAACAATATCACAACAGGACAATTTTTTGTTTACCTGTCTATTCCAATCAATCCTATTTCCCTTTCTTTCACTTTCCTTTTATTGGGATTCTCTTCACAACTGTTTCCTAATTTAATTTATTTTTTTGAATCCTTGTATCTTTTTTTCCACGTGTGTGTGTGGGGCAGGGGTGATGGGGACTTTTCTGTTGATTGTTTGAAGCAAAATTCTAGCTGATGATATTTAGCTTTTCACGGATTTTTCAAGCATCTGCACCATGGCAATGCTTTAATCTGATAAATTAATTATAGCATTCACTGGTGGAAGTTCTTTGGTAAGTTATGGTAAATAAACTAGATACTGTATACTAGATCAATGCCAAAAGAGCAATTTGCCTTCTCATTAACTATAATGAATTGCTGAAGAAATATTAAAAGAAAATCTATTATCTGCATCAGTTACTTTCAACAATAGAAAATTCACAAACTGACGTGTTTTAATCTTTTAAAAAGTTCATGGTGAGTAAATAATGAGATGTGTGTAAAAAAATGATTTAGAGACTTTCAAAAATAGCAAAATGACTATTCTCCCGGATAGCAAACTTTGCGTGTAGATTTCATTCCTCTCTTCAATGACTTTAATGACTCTTAAAACCAACTTTCATATATTTGGCAGAAGAATTAGAAACCTGATTACAGAGGGATGTGACCAGGTGAATAATGTTAAAACGAATGTTGTATGTTCAGTGTAAAGTGCTACAACAACAACAACAACAACAAGATTGCATTTATAGAGCACCTTTCACGTCGAGAGGACGTCCCAAGGCGCTGGACAGTTGGGTCGGGACCCGAGCAGGAGGGAACTGGTCAGGGTGAGGGGAGGGAAGGGAGGGTGGGAGCGATGAGGGGGTAGAGAGTCAAGAGGGGAGGTGAAGGCACGGTTGAAGAGAAAGGTCTTGAGACCGGCCTTGAAGAAGGAAAGGGAGGAAGCAAGGCGAAGGCACTGGGGGATGGAGTTCCAGAGCCTAGGGGCTGAGAGGCTGAAAGCCCGGCCACCGATGTTAGGGCAGTTAGGGAGGGGGATGTGGAGCAGACCGGAGCCAGAGGAACGGAGGGTACAGGCAGGTAGGTAGGGGGATAGTAGGTCGGAGAGGTAGGACGGTGCAAGGCCGTGAATGGCCTTGTAGGTGAGGATGAGGATCTTGAATTTGAGTAAATAATAATAATAAATTGAGTAAAATATCATGGTTGCATATGGTTATAGACGACAGGAGGCGTACATCAGCTGTGGTTAGTTTACAATCTGAGGATGGTGTTTTCTTTCTCCAAACATCATAACCCTTAAAATCTGCAATACTGGAGTCAAGTAAAGTTGCCTAAGAGAAGTTCTAATGCAGTCAATACCACAAGTAAAGCCACAGCTGCTGTACCTCAAGTTACACATCTAAAGCTCAGTGGTAAATTATTTCAGAACTTCTTCCAAGAAGTTGGAAGACAACACATTAAGTGCGTTGGTGAAAGATTTTTCATTATCCAAACCACACATGTGATGGGAAAGATTAATGTATTGAATAATGTATGGAATTCGACTGCAAGAGAGTTTCTCAAAAATAAATCTGGACACTGTCTGGTATATTTTTTGTTCGTTATTTGCGTGTGCTTTAGTAGGATTGTAAAACGTACATTGACTTAAAGGCTTCACTGAGAATATATGAAATTTAATATGAGGTGCAGATTGCTGCGCTGCTGAAGCAGAAAAGGGGGTTGTGAATGGTGTCTATGGAGGGAAGGAAACTAGTGGAAAAGAATTACTATTCTAGAGTTTTTTAAGTCTTTGGAGAGTAAGGAACCACACGATACTACCACCCACCTCCCCTGGCAATTAGAGTAGGGTGGGGTGAAGGGCATGTTAGATTAGATTGTACGTGGTTGTGAAAGATTGGGCTTGGTGGCCTGAATATTTCATCACAAAACACACAGTTAATCCACCTTACAGCATATCCTGTGAAGCATTTTGAGATGTCTCAACAATGTGATAAGGCGCTATACCAAAAGCAAGGATTATTATTATATTTTCATGTCCTGCTTCTGTGTTTGATTCATCGGCGGGTGAGCTGTCAGCCATCCTGTTCTCTGGTACTCCACACACTCTTATATTTCTAATGCTATAAATACAAGACCTGCTTTCTTTCTTTCTTTCTTTCTTGCTTGCTTGCTTGCTTGCTTGCTTGCTTGCTTCCTTCCTTACTTACTTACTTACTTCATTAGGAGATTTTGGCATAGTACATTTATGAACAGTCCTATTGTAATGAGATACAAAACTGGCTTGGAAACCAATACACATGGTTTTCATGTGGATAAGATAGATAATGAGGTCAGCTATCCAGACTTCCTGGTTTATTAAAGTCCAGTGAGAGTTATATGTTTAGAGATGAGTTCATTTATTATTAAGCCAAAGTTAAAGTTTTGTAACCCACGTTTCAATGCATAATCTATCATCAATAAGTGTGTCATGAATCAAGAGCAAATTTTGCTTTGACAGTGATGAGGTAAATAGGTGTACATGTTTGTGTTATTTACGTATACAGTGGATGGAACAAACATAGCTTAACAGGTGAACGTGCAAGAAATGTTTTCACCAGATGTTTGTTAAAAATATGAAGCTATGCCAACATTTACTACATCTTACCCTTTTATGGGAATCAAATAAATGACTTCATTCTCAACGTTTCCAACTAACAAATCTACATTCACCTTTTGGGAGGCATTTCTTTATTTGTTCACTGTAACATCTTCCAATGCAACACCTAGTAATTTGTTTCTTCTGTTCAGATATGATTACACAAATACAGGATTCATTAACACCCACCTACATCACATTTCTGCAATGACTATTAATGTGGCACTTCATCTGGAACTTGAAACTCAAGTGCCAATCAATCCCGTCTTCAGCAACTTTACTCTGCAGCTTGGCATTGGTGTGGAAATACAGGTATCCAGACAGCAGTGGAAGTGTAGTATTTTCTTCATCAATAA